GGTTCTGGGGGCACGTCACGGCCGCGGCCGTACTTCGTTCCGCTCCTTCAGCAGGTTCTTGGTCAGCCGCCTCCTCCTTGTCCTGCTCCCTCCTTAGAGTGTCTTTCGCCTGTCCAGTTGCAGTCACAGTTACAGCCCACCTCGCCACTTCCTGGTCCTTCTCCCTACACTGGTCCGACAGGAGGTCTTATGGAGCGTCGTGAGCCTGAGTCTCGTCCTGTGTCGCCTGAGTCTAGTTCTGCGTCACCTGTTCGTGCTGCTCGCACTGGTCGTCGTGTCCCGCGTCAGCGTCCTCCTGCTGTCCCCGGCACTCACCAGATGTTGCTTCGTCTTTCCACTGCTCCACAGCGTGTCCCTCTGCCTTCTCCTCCTGCGTCCTCCCTTCCTGCCCTTGCTGACCCAGAGTCTGACTCTCTTCGTGCTGCCAGTCCTACTGTCCCGCGTCTCCTGGCCACAGTTGTCACTGACCCTTCCTTTGAGTCAGCTGTTGCGTCTGCCTTAGTTACTGAGCTTGTCGACTTTGCTGCTCACTGTAGACTAGACTACGCTGCCAGTCTTGTTGCTGAGTCTGAGTCTGTCTGTCCTCCGTCCGTCGGGGGTGAGTGTGCTCTTGGCACGGACGTCCTTGAGGACAGGCAGGAGGAGTTTGAGTGCTTTGCCGCCGCTGTACCTCATCTCGTGTCCATGCTGATTGCACCTGAGGGAGACCCGGATGCTCCAGACATCCCGACCCCGCGCTCTTACGCTGAGGCGATCGCGGGTGAGTACTCCTCTCAGTGGCAGACAGCCATGGATACAGAGATGGCATCCTGGAAGTCCACTGGCACTTACGTCGACGAGGTTCCCCCTCCTGGGGCGAACATCGTCAGTAGCATGTGGATTTTCAGGGTGAAGCGGCCGCCAGGTTCTCCGCCTGTCTTCAAGGCTCGGTACGTTGCTCGAGGCTTCAGTCAGCGAGAGGGAGTAGACTTCTTTCAGACCTTCTCCCCCACCCCGAAGATGACCACTCTTCGGGTGCTACTGCACGTTGCCGCTCAGCGTGACTACAAGCTTCACTCTCTTGACTTCAGCACAGCTTTCTTGCAGGGCAGCCTGCACGAGGAGATCTGGCTGCGCCGCCCTCCTGGCTTCACTGGGTCGTTTCCTCCTGGTACCCAGTGGAGCCTCCGGCGGCCGGTCTACGGTCTCCGCCAGGCTCCACGTGAGTGGCACGACACACTGAGGACTACACTTGCGGCTCTTGGGTTCTCGTCTTCTACTACCGACCCGTCGCTGTTTCTACGCACCGACACTTCACTGCCGCCGTTCTACATCCTCGTGTACGTCGACGACTTGGTCTTTGCCACTGCTGACACTGAGGCTCTCGCCCACGTGAAGTCGGAGCTGCAGAAGAGACACACGTGCACAGACCTGGGTGAGCTGACAAGCTATCTTGGCTTGCGGATCACCCGGGACAGAGCACGCCGCACCATCACACTGACTCAGTCACACATGGTGCAGCAGGTCCTTCAGCGCTTCGGCTTCACCTGGTCCTCGGCACAGACCACTCCTCTGGCTACAGGTCACTCGCTCTCAGCTCCACCTTCGGACGAGTCCGTAGAGCCGAGTGGTCCTTACCCAGAGCTAGTTGGTTGCCTCATGTACCTGATGACTTGCACTCGTCCTGACCTCGCGTACCCTCTTGGCCTTCTGGCTCGCTACGTGGCTCCTGGTCGGCACCGAAAGGTGCACATGGATGCTGCTAAGAGGGTACTGCGTTACTTGTGCAGTACGTCAGGCATGGGGCTCGTGCTTGGAGGGAGGCGCTCAGTTGTTCTCACTGGGCACTTAGACGCTTCTTGGGTTGACGACCAGGCTACTCAGCGGTCGTCACAGGGTTACACCTTCAGCCTTGGCTCTGGTTCAGTTTCTTGGCGTTCTACTCGCTCGTCTTCAGTTCTCAGCTCCAGTTGTGAGGCTGAGATCTACGCCACTGCCATGGCTGCACAGGAGCTACGCTGGCTGACCTACCTGCTGACCGACTTGGGAGAGCGGCCTAATTCTCCTCCAGTGCTGTACGTCGACAACAAGGCTGCCATTGCCTTGTGTGAGGAGCACAGACTGGAGCACAGAACGAAGCACATCGCTCTCCGTTACTTCCTGGCTCGAGAGCTGCAGCAGCGCGGTCAGCTTCGTCTGCGTTACGTGGCCACTCGGGCCAACACCGCTGATATATTCACCAAGGCACTTTAGCCTGGTGATCAGCGCTTCTGCACAATACTGGGGCTTGTGCCCACTTTTCCTCACTTACTGTAGGCTTTGTCTGTACTGTGATCTCTATATATATATATGCCTGCCTGTTTGCTTTGCTAGGTTGAGATCACCTTGCTGTTTGTGTTGCATATATGCCTCTGCATTTGAACTGGCCCTGTGGCCCTTTGCTTGTGCTCAGAGTGTGTGGTGACGTTGTGATCCACCCTGAGCTTGCTTTGCCTTTCTTGACTGGTCTTCTGACCCCTTGCTCTCCCCCACTTTGCCTATGGGGGTGTGTCAAACATTATCTATATGTCATTGCTGTGTAGGCTATAGTGGGTTAGCCTTTAGGGGGTACACAACTCTAGAGTTTCATACTTGTACTCCATCTTTCATATTTCAATCACTTCTTGTTTCTGAGAGGCGTTGGCGCTAGAGGCACTGGAGCTGGAGGAGCTGGAGCTGGAGATCCTGGAGCTGGAGGCGCTGGAGCTGGAGACCCTGGAGCTGGAGACCCTGGAGCTGGAGGCGCTGGCGCTGGAGGCGCTGGAGCTGGAGGAGCTGGAGCTGGAGGCACTGGAGCTGGAGGCGCTTGAGCTGGAGATCCTGGAGCCAGAGGTGCTGGCGCTGGGGGTGCTGGAGCTGGCGGTACTGGTGCGGGAGGCACTGTGCAGCGGCGACCGCTTTTCGTTCCGCCGACGGCGTCGTCTCTGCCGCCACCTGGCTCGGTCCTTCGCCAGGTTCTTAGTCTCCCGTCTTCTACTGGCCTTACTCCTCGCTTACTGTGTCCACCGCCTCACCAGTCGCGGCCACAGTTACAGCTAGACTCCCCACTGCCTGCTCCTTCTCCTTACGCTGAGCAGACAGACTCTCTTACAGAGCGTCGTGAGCCTGAGTCTCGTCCTGCCTCGCCTGTTTGCGTTGTTCGCACTGGTCGTCGTGTTCCTCGTCTGCGTCCTCATCCTGTCCTCGGCACTCACATTATGGCGCTTCGTCCTTCCTCTGTTCCACTTCGAGTTCCCCTGCCGTCTTCTCCTGTGTCGTCTCTTGGTGATGGTCCGGACCCTGAGTCTGACTTAGTTCGTGCTGCCAGTCCTACTGTCACACGTCTTCTAGCCACTGTTGTCACTGACCATTCGCTTAAGTCCGCTGCTGCGTCTGCCCTAGTTGCTGAGCTTGTTGACCTTGCTGCTGCCTGTCGTCTCGACTACGCCGCAAGTCTTCTTGCTGATTCTGAGTCTGACTGTCCTCCGTCCGTCGGAGGTGAGTGTGCTCTTAGCACGGACGTCCTTGAGGACAGGCAGGAGGACTTTGAGTGTCTCGTGCTTGGAGGACGGGGTCCAGTTGTCCTCACTGGACACACAGACGCTTCTTGGGTTGACGACTTTGCTACGCAGCGGTCGTCACAGGGTTACACTTTCAGCCTTGGGTCCGGCTCTGATTCTTGGCGGTTTACCCGCTCGTCTTCTGTTCTCAGTTCCAGTTGTGAGGCTGAGATCTACGCAGGGGCCATGGCTGCACAGGAGTTACGCTGGCTCACCTACCTGCTGACCGACTTGGGAGAGTGGCCTCGTTCTTCTCCAATTCTATACGTAGACAACAAGGCCATGATTGCCTTGTGTCAGGAGCACAGACTGGAGCACAGAACGAAGCACATCACTCTGTGTTACTTCCTTGCTCGAGAGCTGCAGCAGCGTGGTCAGCTTCGTCTTGCTTATGTGGCCACTCAGACCAACACTGCTGATATATTCACCAAGGCACTTCGGCCTGGTGAGCATTAGCGTTTCTGTACTGTTTTATGCCTTGTGCCTACTTTGCCTCACTTGCTCACTGCGTGACTTTGCTTGTACTGTGATCTATATATATATACTTGCATGCTTACCCCTGCTAGGTTATGATCACTGTGCTGTTTGTTCTCGTTTATATAATTCTGCATGTGAACTGGCCTTGTGGTCATTTGCTTGTGCTCAGAGTGTGGTGACTTTGTGATCCACCCTGAGCTTCCTTTGTTTTTTCTTGACTGGTCTTGTGACCCCCTGTTCTCCCCCACTTTGCCTATGGGGTTGTGTCAAACTATTATAATGTTTATATTGTGTAGGCTGTAGTGGGGTAGCCCATAAGGGGTACAACCCAATTAGGGTTAGTGCTTGTACTCAGTTTCTTGTCAATGCATCCATTCTCGTTCAGTATTCTGACAGCGTATTCCGCTTCCTGAACGCAGATTTTTGAAATCCAAATCTCGCTTTCATATCCGCTTCAATAACCTCTCTTTCGCTTAATGGGAGCTGAACAGAATAGTGTTGGATTAGACAATCATGTGACCATACATCTTCACAAAAAAAAAGGGAGGTTCGCTATGATGACCAGGAAAAAGAACAAACAAATAAACCACCAGCATGAAAACTGGTGTGGTGTCATGCACATAGTGGGAATGGATGGAAGGAAGGAACCATAATCAATCAGTCAGCCTTCCATTGTGACATGAAACTTGCATTCATCTGTGTTTTTGTTTCTTTCTTTGCCTGCTTCATGTGTACCGTACTGAACCTACATAACTCACTCGAATTTCCCTGCGTTGATTCATCAGCAATGCTTGCGAATGAAACCTGACAAATCCATCGTCAGAAACGAATTGCAAGGCCTGCTCTTCAGGTTACCGTATTATTCCGAGCAAACACAACACGTTGCCCCAGCTGACCACCATCGAACCTATTTGAATAATGAAAAAATACTTACATAAGCCAGAAGAGAACACTAATGGAATCGCCTTATTGTTCAGCAATTGCAGCATCCTCGTCCCTAAATCTCTGCGATATTGTGGAAAGAGTCTCCCTCACATGAGTCAAGTTGGCCTTTAAAGACGAATAGCACGTGCCGTCTCCGAACGAGAGGTGGTAGCGCACAGAGCAAGCATATGCAAGGTTGTTGTAACAGGCGTTGTAACACTTGCGCGGGCGGATCTCATAGATCGAGGCGTTGGCGGGCATGAAGATGACATTGGCGAAGGCGGCCCCGTGGCCCGACACAAACAGGCGTGCTCGGCGGAAGAGAGCTCGAGCTGGTGAGGAAAAGAGGCCGGAGAAAGGAGAGAGGAGTGCATTGGGGGAAGTGTGGGTCGCAGCATGGAATGTTGAGTGAAAACGGGGTGGGGGAGAACAGGGAGAGAATGGGGCATGGGGCGCATTCGGGGTAGTATGGGGTGTGTTCGGGAGCGTGGGACACATTAGGGGGAGCGTGGGGCGCTTTAGGGGGAGTGTGGGGTGTTGAGCGACAATGGGGAATTGTGAAGGTCAGATGAGGGTGATACTTCCGAGATTCAAGGCTGATGGCAGATAATGGCTTTGCAGCGTACAGGTGGAATGCACTATGCACATGCTCACATGCCCACATGCTCACATGCTCACATGCCCACATACCCACATGCCCACATGCCCACATGCTCACATGCTCACATGCCCACATACCCACATGCCCACGTGCCCACATGCCCACGTGCCCACATGCCCACGTCCCCATCCGCATCACCCCCATGCTCAGCACACCACATTACCTTCCATGATGCGCAGGTCCCCTTGGAACACCACGATGCGCTCGCTCCCAAAGCTCTCAAAGCTCTCGTACACCGCGTCCCGCAGCCCGTCCCAGTTCACCAGCGCGCGCTTCGCCATTGGCCGCTTGCCCAGCACCACCACCCAGTCGGACGGCAGCGCCGCCATGTCCTGGTCGGCGAGCGGCGGCACGAAGCGCAGCGTCCAGTTGCGGTGGAAGAGCGGCAGCCCGCCGGGCGGCAGCAGGTGGTGGCTCCGGAGGTGCGTCCAAAGGGCCTTATTGGGGCCGCCACACGTCTGCGCCATGGGCTGGTTGGGCAAAGGGGGTGGGGGGAAGGAAGCGGGTGGGTGAGGGGAGAAGTGGGGGAGAGGGGGGAAGAATAGGTTGGACGGGTGAGATGGCAATTAGGGGGGTTTGCTATCCGGCACATGGTGTCAAGGCATCACTTGGTAGAATGTACGGGTCAGGGAGAATGTATGGGAGAGGCGGGTGGGATGGCAAGTAGAAAAGTGTAATCTAGCACATGGCATGACCTGCTGCATGGCATGACCTGGTACATCACATCACCTGGTACATTGCATCACGGCATCATGGCATCCCAACATCACCTGGTACATGGCATCACATGGCATCATGACTATCACCTGGTACATGGCATCACACGGCATCATGACTATCACCTGGTACATGGCATCACATGGCATCATGACTATCACATGGCATCATGACTATCACCTGGTACATGGCATCACATGGCATCATGAATATCACATGGCATCATGACTATCACCTGGTACATGGCATCACATGGCATCATGACTATCACATGGCATCATGACTATCACCTGGTACATGGCATCACATGGCATCATGAATATCACATGGCATCATGACTATCACCTGGTACATGGCATCACATGGCTACATGGCATCACATGGCATCATGACTATCACCTGGTACATGGCATCACATGGCATCATGACATGGCATCATGACTATCACCTGGTACATGGCATCACATGGCATCATGACATGGCATCATGACTATCACCTGGTACATGGCATCACATGGCATCATGAATATCACATGGCATCATGACTATCACCTGGTACATGGCATCACATGGCATCATGACTATCACATGGCATCATGACTATCACCTGGTACATGGCATCACATGGCATCATGAATATCACATGGCATCATGACTATCACCTGGTACATGGCATCACATGGCATCATGAATATCACATGCCATCATGACTATCACCTGGTACATGGCATCACATGGCATCATGACTATCACATGGCATCATGACTATCACCTGGTACATGGCATCACATGGCATCATGAATATCACATGGCATCATGACTATCACCTGGTACATGGCATCACATGGCATCATGAATATCACATGGCATCATGACTATCACCTGGTACATGGCATCACATGGCATCATGACTATCACATGGCATCATGACTATCACCTGGTACATGGCATCACATGGCATCATGAATATCACATGGCATCATGACTATCACCTGGTACATGGCATCACATGGCATCATGAATATCACATGGCATCATGACTATCACCTGGTACATGGCATCACATGGCATCATGAATATCACATGGCATCATGACTATCACCTGGTACATGGCATCACATGGCATCATGAATATCACATGGCATCATGACTATCACCTGGTACATGGCATCACATGGCATCATGACTATCACATGGCATCATGACTATCACCTGGTACATGGCATCACATGGCATCATGACATGGCATCATGACTATCACCTGGTACATGGCATCACATGGCATCATGACATGGCATCATGACTATCACCTGGTACATGGCATCACATGGCATCATGACATGGCATCATGACTATCACCTGGTACATGGCATCACATGGCATCATGACTATCACCTGGTACATGGCATCACATGGCATCATGACATGGCATCATGACTATCACCTGGTACATGGCATCACATGGCATCATGACATGGCATCATGACTATCACCTGGTACATGGCATCACATGGCATCATGACATGGCATCATGACTATCACCTGGTACATGGCATCACATGGCATCATGACATGGCATCATGACTATCACCTGGTACATGGCATCACATGGCATCATGACTATCACCTGGTACATGGCATCACATGGCATCATGACATGGCATCATGACTATCACCTGGTACATGGCATCACATGGCATCATGACATGGCATCATGACTATCACCTGGTACATGGCATCACATGGCATCATGAATATCACATGGCATCATGACTATCACCTGGTACATGGCATCACATGGCATCATGACTATCACATGGCATCATGACTATCACCTGGTACATGGCATCACATGGCATCATGACATGGCATCATGACTATCACCTGGTACATGGCATCACATGGCATCATGACATGGCATCATGACTATCACCTGGTACATGGCATCACATGGCATCATGACATGGCATCATGACTATCACCTGGTACATGGCATCACATGGCATCATGACATGGCATCATGACTATCACCTGGTACATGGCATCACATGGCATCATGACATGGCATCATGACTATCACCTGGTACATGGCATCACATGGCATCATGACATGGCATCATGACTATCACCTGGTACATGGCATCACATGGCATCATGACATGGCATCATGACTATCACCTGGTACATGGCATCACATGGCATCATGACATGGCATCATGACTATCACCTGGTACATGGCATCACATGGCATCATGACATGGCATCATGACTATCACCTGGTACATGGCATCACATGGCATCATGACATGGCATCATGACTATCACCTGGTACATGGCATCACATGGCATCATGACTATCACCTGGTACATGGCATCACATGGCATCATGACATGGCATCATGACTATCACCTGGTACATGGCATCACATGGCATCATGACATGGCATCATGACTATCACCTGGTACATGGCATCACATGGCATCATGAATATCACATGGCATCATGACTATCACCTGGTACATGGCATCACATGGCATCATGACTATCACATGGCATCATGACTATCACCTGGTACATGGCATCACATGGCATCATGACATGGCATCATGACTATCACCTGGTACATGGCATCACATGGCATCATGACATGGCATCATGACTATCACCTGGTACATGGCATCACATGGCATCATGACATGGCATCATGACTATCACCTGGTACATGGCATCACATGGCATCATGACATGGCATCATGACTATCACCTGGTACATGGCATCACATGGCATCATGACATGGCATCATGACTATCACCTGGTACATGGCATCACATGGCATCATGACATGGCATCATGACTATCACCTGGTACATGGCATCACATGGCATCATGACATGGCATCATGACTATCACCTGGTACATGGCATCACATGGCATCATGACATGGCATCATGACTATCACCTGGTACATGGCATCACATGGCATCATGACATGGCATCATGACTATCACCTGGTACATGGCATCACATGGCATCATGACATGGCATCATGACTATCACCTGGTACATGGCATCACATGGCATCATGACATGGCATCATGACTATCACCTGGTACATGGCATCACATGGCATCATGACATGGCATCATGACTATCACCTGGTACATGGCATCACATGGCATCATGACATGGCACCATGACTATCACCTGGTACATGGCATCACATGGCATCATGACATGGCATCATGACTATCACCTGGTACATGGCATCACATGGCATCATGACATGGCATCATGACTATCACCTGGTACATGGCATCACATGGCATCATGACATGGCATCATGACTATCACCTGGTACATGGCATCACATGGCATCATGACTATCACCTGGTACATGGCATCACATGGCATCATGACATGGCATCATGACTATCACCTGGTACATGGCATCACATGGCATCATGACTATCACCTGGTACATGGCATCACATGGCATCATGACATGGCATCATGATTATCACCTGGTACATGGCATCACATGGCATCATGACTATCACCTGGTACATGGCATCACATGGCATCATGACATGGCATCATGACTATCACCTGGTACATGGCATCACATGGCATCATGACTATCACCTGGTACATGGCATCACATGGCATCATGACATGGCATCATGACTATCACCTGGTACATGGCATCACATGGCATCATGACTATCACCTGGTACATGGCATCACATGGCATCATGACTATCACCTGGTACATGGCATCACATGGCATCATGACTATCACCTGGTACATGGCATCACATGGCATCATGACTATCACCTGGTACATGGCATCACATGGCATCATGACTATCACCTGGTACATGGCATCACATGGCATCATGACATGGCATCATGACTATCACCTGGTACATGGCATCACATGGCATCATGACATGGCATCATGACTATCACCTGGTACATGGCATCACATGGCATCATGACATGGCATCATGACTATCACCTGGTACATGGCATCACATGGCATCATGACATGGCATCATGACTATCACCTGGTACATGGCATCACATGGCATCATGACATGGCATCATGACTATCACCTGGTACATGGCATCACATGGCATCATGACATGGCATCATGACTATCACCTGGTACATGGCATCACATGGCATCATGACATGGCATCATGACTATCACCTGGTACATGGCATCACATGGCATCATGACATGGCATCATGACTATCACCTGGTACATGGCATCACATGGCATCATGACTATCACCTGGTACATGGCATCACATGGCATCATGACATGGCATCATGACTATCACCTGGTACATGGCATCACATGGCATCATGACATGGCATCATGACTATCACCTGGTACATGGCATCACATGGCATCATGAATATCACATGGCATCATGACTATCACCTGGTACATGGCATCACATGGCATCATGACTATCACATGGCATCATGACTATCACCTGGTACATGGCATCACATGGCATCATGACATGGCATCATGACTATCACCTGGTACATGGCATCACATGGCATCATGACATGGCATCATGACTATCACCTGGTACATGGCATCACATGGCATCATGACATGGCATCATGACTATCACCTGGTACATGGCATCACATGGCATCATGACATGGCATCATGACTATCACCTGGTACATGGCATCACATGGCATCATGACATGGCATCATGACTATCA